TTCCCTTCGAAAGCTTTCGAAAACCCAGGTTTTTCCACCATAGACTCAACTCCTTAATGGTAAACTGGGGAACTACAGACACTATGTCAACCTTTTAAAACCATTACCAAGGTGGAATGCTAAGAAAACTATCTTTATGGAAGATCTCCAAGGAATCTTTTTCCCAGGGAGCAGCTGGGTGGGTTTGAACCTCCATGATGTTTGCTAGCAGCTGAGCACGTGATCTGAATACCACTGGGGCTGCAGAGGTACAGCAAAATTGGGAACAAATGGGGAAAGACATCATATTAGTTTTACTGCACAATATCTTTATCAAAACTTCCCCAAAGATGCCCCTGAAGCACCAGGAAAGAAGTACACATTGAAATAGCACTTCATTTTTACAATGAAAATAAAATGATTGCTTTAGAAATGTCTTGCTCAGTAGTCATGTGGTATATAAAGGGAATCCTTTCTTTCTGTTTAAGGAACAAGCTGGAAATGCAATCCATTCATCTTTCCAGTCTCTCATCTCTGCACTCAATTCATCCACTGGAGATTATGTCCTGGAGACCATAAACCAGCTATTTGGTGATGAGTCGGCAAAATTCAAGGAAGTAAGTGAAACCTGTCATTGGAACTTGCACCCACTTTTGACCAGTACAATCCACACAGGCTCCCCAGGACTGGCTGCACAGATAGCCCACGTGCAGAGTAGAACATTAGTGTATTAAGATTGATTCCAAGACCCCCCATCCTCCAGCTGGACGTCTGTTCTAATCTTCTAAGTCTGCAAGGCACAGCAAGGGAGAAGAGACATGGTGAGGTGGACTGGCACAAGGGTCCCAGTGGTGGGCTCACGCACTCATGAGTGTGAGGGTGATTCTGGATGGAATACCATTTCTTTCTGCAGTTACAGAAGGTGGCTATGAGTTCGAGTGGATTCCAGGGCCGTTGCCTATCAGCTATGGGCAGTGCAAGAGAGCAGGCAGGCAGATAGAGCACAGACAGTCCCGGTGTGATAAACAAGAGTCAATCTGTGTCTTTAAGTCATTGGATTGACTTTGTAGATGTTAGAAATGGTGCCTGTGGTTATCTTTAACCTGACATATTGCAATAAAGGGCTTGACGCTCATTATTTCCATGTTTAAAAGTTGAATTCGTTGCGAGTAGGAATTGGTTCAATCATTTCAAAGTGAGGACACATTTATGAGGTTTTCTCCACCTGGAAAGAGTGAGAGTCCCGGTAACTCACAAGGGCAGTTCTACCCTGCTCTGTGGGATCCCTATGAGTCAGAAACAGCTCGATGGCAGCAGTCAAGGAGAAGAGGAAACTAGGCGCTGCAGGTAGGTCAGAAAGTCCTCATCCCGTGTCTGCCTGCTGGGGAAGGGAGCACTTGCATCCATGAAATTCCATCTCTTTCCTCTTGCTCATCCCCTGCTATACAGCCTTTCCCTTAACTGAAAGGCCATAATTTACAGTTACACTGTGGCTTCTTCGGTGTGAATTTGGTCTAACCTTGCCATTTTCTTGCTTTACAGAAATACATGAAATTCTCTAAGAAATATTACTCTACACAACCTCAGGCAGTGAACTTCCTACAATGTGCAGAGGAAGCTAGAGAAAAAATCAATGCCTGGGTCAAGACTCAAACTAAAGGTAAAACCAAGGAAACACTTTCAGTTCCTCTGTCTCAGTGGTTCTCAACCTGTGGGTCGAGACCCCTTTGGGGGCCGAACGACCTTTCACAGGGATACCAAAGATCACCAGAAAGCCTAACTGTAACAAAATGACAGTTGTGAAGTAGCAACGAAAATAATTTTATGGTTGGGGGATCACCACAACATGAGAAACTGTATTAAAGGGTCACAGCATTAGGAAGGCTGAGGACCACTGCGCTATCCACTTTGGAAACGCTGATCCGAATAATACTTAGTGATTGGGATAGGAGAGGTTCTCAGTCTTTTCCTTACTCAAGGAACTCTCTTTCATTCCATTCTGAATTAAGTAACTGAGCTACAACTGTAAAATACAACCATGGGAATTGAAAATATCCATTCAAAATGTGGAAGCAAATCTAAGTTTTAAATCTAATACATATTTTTGGGGTTTTCTTTTGGATTTTATACCTCTGAAAAACTTGAGAGATCTGTGCTTCAAATAAACCTAAAAAATGTGGGGGGAGGTGGGGAGCAAGATTGCAAGTCCTGTCATAGATCTCTGAGGAGTTGTGCTTGAAAGACTCAAGAACTCATAGTAGCTTCCCAGTTCTTGATCCAATAGATGTCATGTTTTCCATAGGTAAAATCCCAAACCTGCTACCGGAAGGTTCCGTGGATGAGGAGACCCGGATGGTCCTGGTGAATGCCGTCTACTTCAAAGGAAAATGGAAAACTCCATTTCAGAAGACCCTAGATGGACTTTATCCTTTCCGTGTGAACGCGGTAAGAGAAAATACAAAGCATCTTCTTCACACACATTCCTTCCTCATGGACTAAGATGGCTAGGTTCCCAAGACCAGGCCATCATGTGAAGTGGGTGCTGGGAGATAGTTGGGGGCCATGCAGCATGCTGGGCCCTGGTGCCATCCCTGGTTCCTCATGGTCCACCTGGCACCAAGCACAGCAGTTCAGCAGGTCCCCATGAATTGGAGTGGCATTTCTTTATTATGATTCCTATCCATCATAACAATAGGTGTAAACTGGACAACCCCGGGAAAATCAAAGCACCCACGAGAATAATTACATACCTAAGCTGTGTGTTTTAAAATCCATTTGAAAAGAAAATCAAGAACCCGCAGCTGTTTTCATGCTTCACTGTAAACCCCTTGCTCTCGGCGCTCATATTCGCTTTTCCCAAACTTCAGAATGAGCGCAAACCTGTGCAGATGATGATGCTGCACGCAAAGCTGAACATCGGGTACCTGGAGGACCTCAAGACGCAGATTCTGGAGCTCCCCTACGCAGGAGGGATCAGCATGTTCCTGCTGCTTCCCGATGAAATCGCTGATGAGTCCACGGGCTTGGAGTTGGTAAGGCTTTCCAAGTTGAATTGTTTCCCACTTCTGAAGTGAAACCTCCCTGATTGGGGATGAACATGTCTACACCGTAGGAGTGTGCAGCTTCTCACAGACAGTGTGTGAATTGGTTGGGATGAAATATCCCATGTCTCCAACTTCCAATCCAAGTGTCTGGTTCAGACTTAAATACCTTTATACATGCCCCCTGCTTGCAAATATTTTACCAAGCTGTCACATGTTTAGTTCACCTACAGAATACGGAGGTCAATCTGAAAATATTGCTCATAGGGTCCCTGTTCAGGCACCCCCAGGTTTATTCCAAACCACACATGCGTCATCCAGCCTCTGTGCTTAGGGAGGGAGGGGGGCTGTTGCTGCATGCAAGTTCTCTCACATCACATTTGTCTTTGTCTCATTAGAGTGTCTTCCCCAAAAAGTGTCTAACCGAATCTTGGCTTTGGGACAGATCTGCTGGGCTAGTTGAAATAAAGGCAGAGAGGTTAGCTCTGAAGATTATAATGACTCTTTTTTAATATATATCAAAGGGATACTCTTGATAGATTTTCTTGAATGGCATAGGTCAGTCATAGGAGCTTATTCTTAGGAAATGTTAAGGAGACCCAACACTTCTTTGGCAGAAAAAGTAGTGCAGAGGAATGCTTTTCCATCCCAATTACATACCAGCTCATTCTCCAAGATGAACAAGAGCTTCCTGCTGACATTTCATTGGGGAACCTCCCCTATTCCACCTATAGCTTTGAGCGTGCCCTTTCAGAATTTTGTTCTCCAAACTAACAGGATGTTTAAGAGACATGATGTAAGCCCCTTGAGGATGTCAAACTGTCATTTTGACATGGTACAAATTAGAGTAAAACATTCTCCAGAGAAAGGTCAGAGAGATGGAAATACTTCCTTCCAGGGAATACATCTAGATGCAAGATATGCTGAGAAATCGGAACTTTATATTGAAATAATTTTCTTTAAAGACACTTTCTATCGTTTTGTAGCAATACTTTTGGACTTGCCTTTGGAGCAAAGCCACTGTTTTCAATATTAAAGTACAGTTGTTTACCTTTAAAAAAAAACCAAACACTGACTGGTAATTTTTGGAATTGCAGCTGGAAGATGCGCTGACCTATGAGAACCTCAGCAAGTGGACCAGCAAAGACACAATGGGAGAAGATGACGTTGAGGTGTACATACCCAAGTTCAAGTTGGAAGAGCGTTACAAGCTCAAGTCCATTCTGAAGAACATGGGCATGCATGATGCCTTCAGCAAAGGCCAGGCCAATTTCTTAGGGATGACAGAAGGAAAGGACCTGTTCCTGTCTGAGGTGTACCACCAGGCCACCGTGGATGTTAATGAAGAGGGTACCGAAGCGGCTGCTGGCACCGGGGGCGTTATGACTGGCAGAACTGGCCACGGAGGCCCACAATTTGTGGCAGACCACCCTTTCCTCTTCTTGATCATTTACACAAAGACCCAAAGCATCCTCTTTGTGGGCAGATATGCCTCACCCTAAAATGGAAATGTTCTATGTTTGCATGGGAGGTTGTGGCATGAGTTGTCTGCTGCTTCATGACGGTGAACTCCAGGGACAACATTTTGGAGATCTTTTTCCACGTATTTTTGTTTCTCTGAACAACCTTCTCCATTTAAAATTGACTAGTGATGTCAGTCACACTAATGACAAATACATGAGCAACAAGATCACACTCTCCTTTCCAAACATGGCAGCCCTTTGAGTCTCTTTAGTTCCTCCTCTCGACTGCTTTACTCGGGAGTAATAACTTTCACTGTGTTATTTATTCTTTTATATTATACATAATGGTGAGTTTTAAAAATAATTGTTCACTGTTTATTTAATGTAGCTGATAGAGCCACAGAAGCAAACAATCAGATCATTTTCGACGTATGACAATGTGTTAACTTGTTCTTTTTATACCGTGTGGTTTTCCAGATCCTTCTGTTTGAAATTCCTGGAAGAAACGTTTGAAAAGAACAGGCAAATAGACACTCTATGCAATTCTAGAAACATGTAGCCCATATATGTGCCTGTAACTTATGGAAACTTAACTAGACAATAAATAAATGTTTTTATCTAAAGCCCCTTGTGTCTTGCCCTTCATTGAGTCTACAGATCGTAAGACCTGTGGCCTCTGGATTGCCAGAAGTGAAGCTCAGTGATGGACACCTAGGACAAATAGGACAGGGGAGCAGAAGACCCCCTCTAGGACCGACACTCCATGTTGGGTGTGCCTGGGGATAGATCTGCCTTCTGAAAGCAGCAAATCACAGAGCAATTCAGAAGAATAATGTAGGACATTGTCTTCTGGGGAAAGCAGTTGACATTGCAGGGACATGAAGAACAGACATCAAGCCCACTGGTTGGGATATAGAATCAAGGTCATAGTCATTCAGCTGAGAGTGCAGAGGAAAGGCGCTGCTCTGGGCAGGAGGGGAAATGAGAGAAGGCTCCTTGAAATGCAGTGAATTGCACCTCCCTCAAAGAAAGGTCCAAGTCCTAACCGCTGAGCTGTCAATGGGGCCCTTTGGCAAATAGTGATTGCAGATGTCAATAGTTACCCTGAGGTGATTTTGGAGTGGCGTGGCCTTTAGCCCAATATGGCAGGCACACTTAGATGAAGAGAAGAAAACAAGTCACAAAAGGATGCTGCATGTTGCAACAGAGGTAGAGATTGGAAGGATACAGCCACAATCCCAGCGATTTCATAAACTAGGACAACAGCAGAAGGTGGAAAGGGGCAAGCAGGATCCTAGAGCCTTCAGAGAGGGCAAGAGTCCTGCTGAAAGCATGGTGTTCCATAACCCAGCCTTCAGAACAATGAGGAAACAAATGGCTGTTGTCTTAAGCCTCCCAGTTTGTGGCACTTTGCTGTGGCAGCCTGAGGGAGCCGTGGCAGTTCCTTGTAAGGGTGTTTGTTTTGCATACCAAGGATGGCACTTACGGGGTGAGGCTGAGCTAGATGGTCAGCCGCTGAGCAGAACTTACTTTAAGACCTGAGAACTAAAAGCCCAGAACTTAACTGAGGACTACGGCATATTGTGTACGTGAACTAGCTGCAGAGCCTGGCGTAGGGCAGGGCTGGAGACTGAAAATGTTCTCCAAGCACCCACTGCACATCTTGAAATGGCTGGAAATATTGACCCACTATGGCATCCTGTGCAGAGATGTGACCTCAAGACAAGAATCAATTCTAACCCTCACACATGCTCCATCTAAGAACCAGGAGTCTCATTTTTTCTTTTTTTTTTTGATGCAGAGTGAGAAATAATACTTTTCCCTTCGGACTCCATGGCACGATGATTAAGCCTCCACTCAACTCCTAAGCAAATGAGCAACGATCAACCAGCCACCCCAAGAGCGGACAGACTTGGCAGTCTGCTGCAATGAGAGTTGTGAGGTGCTGTTGTGTTGTTTCTCACTCACAATTACCTCCCTACAACCGGAGAAAGCACCTCCTGGTCCTCCGGCATCCTTACCAGGACTGTCGGGTGAGAGCCCATTGCTGTGGCCTGCTGGCAGTCCATTCTCTTGAGGCACTCCCTCTCATTTACTGGCCCTCTGCTTTCCCAAGCACGATGTCTTACTCCAGGGACACATCCCTCTTGGTGACATATCCACAGTAGATGTGATGACGTCTCAGCAACCCAATTTCTAAGGCTGTACTTTCTCCAGGGTGGATCTGCTCATGCTTCTGGAAGTCGGTGCTATGCTGACTGTTCCTCACTGGCGCCAGAATTCAGCCCCACGTGGAACCCATCTCCTGGCGCCATTCCTCCCACAGTATGTGCTCACTGTGTGTCTCTGCATTGCATTTTGGTAATTCTCACAACATGACAACGTATTTTCATAATGCTATTGCATACTCGAGTAGACTACACTAAAGTGTAAATGTAACTTTCATTTGCACTGGGAAATGAAAAAAATCCACGTGACAGCATGATTTTGATGTTCACCTAACTGTGGTGCTCTGGAACCGAGCCCATCATATGTCCAAGGTACACCTATAATGCTCAAGCATGATCTTACTGACTAGGTAGTGCATCTGTGTTTGCAAATTTTAATAAAATGACTGGCAACATAGAGAAGATTTTGGAGAAAATATAAGTAAAACCTACTTTGAGACTCTAAAGAGATAAATTAATTTATTGGCTGATTCAGTAGAAGCCACATGCTTGTATGAAATTCAGCCTAACCAACCCGCCCCACCCCCACAATGAGCCGACACAAGTAGATGTGTCAGTCCTGTTGGACTGCTGTCAGTCGAGAAGACAAGCAGTCCCTCTCTGTGAGACCCCAAAGGACATTTTTAGCCAATAATCAGACTGCGGTAGTGTGGGCAGCTTATCTACTCAGCACAAGCCAAGCAGGCACCACGAGATTTCCCGCCACATGTCCTGTTCCCTAGAGAATTCCAAAGTAGCGCTCTTCAATGGGTCCCACACCAACATTTAAATATTCAACCAGTTAGCAGAAAGTCAGAATGCCTGCATGCAGTGAAAATTCATGGCAAGTGATGAAGAAAATACACCAAGTATGTCATAAATAGAAAGGGTCTTCTTATCCTGGATCCCGTCTGGAATTTTCCTTCATTTCAATCCCTCATCTCCCTTCCTTTCCCGGTTCTTCCATGTACAGCATAAAGACACAAACGGACAAAAAGGGCGTTCCACTGAGCCGACTTGATTCGGACTCCTGGCAATGCCATGTGTAACACAGGAGAACTTCTCTCCAGAGGCCTTTCTTTCTTTCTTTCTTTCTTTCTATTACGTACTTTTCTTGGGGGCTCTTACATCTCTTATCATAATTCATCCATTCATCCATTGTGTCAAGCACATGTGTACAGATGCTGCCATCATGATTTTCAAAGCATTTTCTTTCTACTTGAGTCCTTGCTATCAGCTCCTCAGTCCCCCATCCCTCCCCTGCCTGCCCTCCCTCATGAACCTTTGATAAGTTAAAGATTATTATTTTCATATCTTACATCATCCTCTGTTGCCCTCACCCACTTTTCTATTGTTCGTCCCCCTGGGAGGGGACTATATGTTGATCCTTGTGATTGATTCCCCCTTTCTCTCCTCACATTCACTTTATCCTCCTGGTATCTCTATTCTGTTTGTTGGCCCTGTGGAGTTTATCTATCCTGAAGACCCTATGCTGGGGTCTTAAAGGCTTGAAGATAACCAAGCGGCCTTCTAGCTGAGAAGCAAAAGCCCACATGGAAGAAGGACACCAGCCTATGTGATCATGAGGTGTAGATGGGATCAGGTATCAGGCATCTAGACCCAGAACAAAATCATACCCAAGGGGTATGGGGGAGGGGGCAACGTGGAGTGAAGGCCCAAAGCCCATCTGTAGACAATTGGGCATCACCTCACGGAAGAGTCACAAGGAAGAGATGAGCCAGTCAGGGTACAGTAAAGCACCGATGAAAAAACTTTCCTGGAGTTCTTTAATGCTTTCCCACCCCCCACCCCCCACCCCCGTCACCCACCCATCATGACCTCAATTCTACCTTACAAATCGGATTAGACCCAAACATGCACACTGTTGCAGATACGAGCCTACAACACAGGGAATCCAGGACAGATAAACTCCCCAGTCTTTTCAATGGCTGTGACTTTTCAGAAGCACATCATTAGGCTGTTCTTCCTAGCCCTTAGAGGTGCACTTGAACAACTAACCTTTCAGTTAGTAACTGAGTGCTTCACTGTTGTACAACCCAAACATGTCACACCACGATAGAAAGTGAAGCCAGGGACATACGTTTTTCCCCTTTGTAATAAATAAGACAGAGTGTGGGAACATTCGTAGAGAGAAACAAAGAAAGCCAGACAGGATGATTCACCTGCCAGCTCAGTCATTGTGCTGAGAAACTTGGTCCCTGGGTGCAGGGGGTGGAATGACATTCCCTGGGGGAGATTCTGCCCTGCGTTCCACATCAGCATTCAAAGGAGAGGGGCAGAGGGACTTCTCCCTGTATCTTAAGGGCAACTTTAACAGTTAAATGGTAAGTATTTTACACATTTTGTTTCATTAGTCCATGAATTTGAAGTTTTCTTCTTCTTTTTGCTTTTTGTTTAAAAGCAAAACAAAAACCTCTGCTGGGGGAAATTCACTCTACTTGCTCTCCGGCTGGAAAAGGGATTAAGCAAGAAGGATGTGAATGAGACCAGGTCAGCATTCAGGTTTCTACCTGTGGACAGACATGGAAAATATGAGTAAGTCAATAACTGGGGGAAGAACCTTCAGTGTCTCTTTCTCCTTGCCCTCGGTCTTTTAGCTGAGCTTTGGGCAAGTGAAGTCTGAAAGGAGGGAATCCACCCGCCTGGGTACAGACTTGTGAAAGGAACCGAAGGGTGGGGCCAAGGAGAGGGAGGCGCTAGAATTCGTTTCCTCCACTGTTATAAATGTCTTAACTCTTCAGCCACAATCTCTTACTCAAGGGCCAAACTGTCAATTGCCCTCCGGTAGAAGAAAACAAGGTATTGTAAAAAACTTTCTTTGGTTAAAAATGTGACTTTATTCTTTTTTGAGGTTCTTATTAAATAACGAATGCTCAAGGGTTGCCAAGATCATAGAAATAATTGGCTTTAGAAGTATTATTTTTAGAAGGCTTCCTCCTTGAAAACTGTAATGCAAACTAGGGAGGCTCAGCCCTGAAATGGTTCAGTGTGTGCTGGAGAGAAGGCTAAAGGGGAGAAAGGATTCTTTTGTAAAACATTAGAAACTTTTTAAAACATTAGAAACTTCATTAACACTAATTAAGGAATTTTGAAACAGTAGAACTGCGGCTTGTCACATTTCTGGATTTGCAACCTCTGGAAGGGTAGCACAGGCAGAGTGAAATTGATCTATCTCAACCAACAGCCAAAATCTTCCCATCTCTTCAGAGCGATAGACTTGGTAATATGAATTTAGATACGTATCATTAGAATGTGGAGAACTAATGGTGTGAACCCACCCACACAGGACCTCAACCTTCTGTCCTGGCCACCACTCCATTGGCCATTCGCTTTCTCTTTTTTCATGGAATTATCTAAACTCCTGCTCCCTCAGTCTTTGATCAATGTTTATAATATAAAAATCCCAAACTGTTAGTGCACTCAGGAAATGGCTTAAGGTCCATAAAAACTCAGCACTGGTGGGAGGTGACGGTCATCCTGGGATTTACGCAATTCCCTGAGGTTGGCAACGGAATCTGGAAGCCAAGATGCGAGGGATCCACTCTTACTTACCAAAAGGAGAGAAAGGGTCTTCCCACTCTTGTATCTTCCTCGTCCCTCTCCGCACCCTCTTGTTTCTCGTTGACTGCCCACCTTTTCTCTTAGAATTGAATAATTGTAAAGATAGAAAGATACAGATACTCAGAGCAGCTGTATTGAGAGTCAAGCGAATGCACTGCAGTCTTGACTCTGCTACTAACTGTGCATCCTTCATTGGCTCAGCCTCCCCTTCTGGGCCGCGGGGCTGCCTCACAGGTTAAAGGAGGCTGTTAGATCAGGCGACGTGGGAGAGTCTGTTCACTGGAAGTGTATATCTAGGATGAGCCATTTGGATGAATGTGACATGGTCGCTTTCGTATGTTCATAGTTCTCTTTGGCTTCTCCCCTAAGCGCCTTTATAGGTTACTTAATGATATAGTTAAAAACAAATCCTCCTCAAACAGTGTATAGCTCCTAAAACTATCAAAAAGCAGTAGGCTTCTGAGCTTGACATCTATAATCATCTCTGAAAAAGTAATTGGTCAAGCATGTCTGGGTGAAATGCCTTTTTTGAGATCTCATCCAAAAGCCCATTTTACTTTGGATAAAATACTATTAGTGGCTAGTTTCACACTTAAGAAAAAAATATTTTAAAAATCAGGAATTCATCTTCTTGTATGGGTGGGGGTTCACCTTAATTTAAATCAATATTGATAGGAATGGGAAAGAATAATGAAGCTGAAGATAACTAGATCTTAACTGTTCACAAGGCATTCAAGCTTTTATTAGAAGTGGCATTCCCAGGAATTTGTGACAAGCAACTCAATTCTAGGGAAACCATAAACCATAGATATAAAGGTAAAAATGCCAAGCTTTTAGATATTACTTTCCCCCGTGAAGTCAAGCATTTTCCATCCAATTGTAATTCCGGATTCTTGAAAAGATAAAGCTTAGTACAGTTGTAGTAAAAGAAGTATCATTTGCGGGAAGGCCAGGAGGAAATTATTTCTAAAATGACATTGAATCTCTGGAGAGGAAATACCAGTAGGTCTGCAAGTTTTATGAAGGGGTGGAGCTACTTGTATGTTTTATGAAGGGGTGGAGCTACTTCAAAACTTCAGTACTGGCTTTGCTGTTCCTTTTCTCAGTGAAACAGTATCAGTGCAGGATTATCGTTGGTTTCTGGAATTGGTGGGAGCCACACCTAGGACATGATTTAGAAGCTGAGAAGTTGCTTGGTGAAGTGTAAGCCCATGGTTAGGGAGGATTTCAGCAGTATCGGTAACAATTTATGTTGAAACCCAAACTTTGTCCACACACGCCTCTCCCTTGCTTCAACTATTTGACAGCGCATAGGGCCGACCTTTCTAAAGCTCTCATTCTAGTTTCTGAAAATTTAAGAGATATGAGTGTGAGGCAAAACTTGATGGGAGTCTTTAAGACTAGGAATTTAATTTATTTGTAATTCTGTAACCAACGAGAGAAGCTGCTGAGCTAGGCAAGGGCAATAGAGCACAGCAAGTATGTCTTTGATACAGACCCAGTTTTAAAAGATCGTGACAAGTGGAGGTAAAATTTAGAAAGTGAAGTTTAGAAAATGAGAGAGACTGAATCTTGTGGGTGAAGGAAACCAGTTTTAGAGGTTTTCTGTTACATGAGGGGTCTCTGGGCAGTCAACAATGCTGACAGAACCTTAAAAGGTATTTTGAGGGCATCAAACAGACTTCATGAGGAGACTTTTCAAAAACAAAACAAATGGATAGAATTATCAATATCTTCCTTTCTTTTTCTTAGGTTTTCCCAATGGACTCTCTAGCAACTTCAATCAACCAGTTTGCACTGGCATTTAGCAAACAGCTCTCAGGATCTGCAGAGGGCAAAAATATTTTCTTTTCCCCCTGGAGCATCTCAACTGCCTTGGCCATGGTGTACTTGGGCACCAAAGGTTCCACTGCTGCCCAAATGGCCCAGGTGAGTGGGGACAGTCAGCTCTCCTTTGCTGCCTGCCTCAAAGTAGATGTTTTCTTTGGCTCCCGAAACCCCAGAGTCCCTGTTTCACAGTAATGGCCTCCAAAAATTCTAGACCATGAAAGGAAGTCTGGCACAAAAATCTGGTTAAAAACTCTTGCTTACTACCACTGTGCTCCAGCCACTAATATGGGGAAAGAACGAACTCATTTTTCCATTCTGATTCAACATGAAGAACACTGCAATTTTGATTATTAGCATTTTTAAAACTATGGGGTCAAATTTAAATCCCGACCTCATGAACATTCAGACAAAGCAAGAGGAACAGACTTCCCTCGATTCTTCTTCTTCGGGGTTTTAAGAAAATATTTGTGAGATTAGCCTGGTGCTAACACTGTTAAAGGACCCACACCTTGATAGCATTTAAATGGTAAAGCATTAGTATTGTATTAAGGAGCTACTGATTTGCTGTAAGTATTGAAGCATACTATGAGAAGTATTTTATATATAAACCAAGATAGTAAAAGACATAGCAAAGTATCCATAGATCTAGGGGATTTCAGGTGCATGAACATATCTGTGTACTTTGGTGGTGTGGTGGCACAACTCTTGACTGCTAGCCAAAAGGTCATGGTCTGGATCCACTTGGTACTCCGCAGTAGAAGGATGCAGCCAGCTGCTGTCGTAACGATTAGGACACCCTATGGGGCAGTTCTCGTCTGTCGCAAAGTGTCTCCATGAGTTCGAATCAGCTTGAGGCCAACAACTTTGGCTTGGGGGTTGGCATGTGGAAATATGATGGCTGCCATCAAGTCCATGCTGAAACATGGTCACCCCACGTGTGCAGAGTAGAACTCCTCCATAGGGGTTCAAGTCAGTGACCCTTCTGAAGTGGGTCCCCACCCTCTCTCTTGGGGAACCTCCAGGTGGGTTTGAACCTCCAACCTTTTAGCTGATAGTTGAACACTAAACTGTTAGTGCCGCTCAAAAACTCTTATACCTATGTGTGTATATATGCTGGGGCTTCAAAATAGTTTGTTGAACATTTGAATTAAAGAATACTGGAACTTTTATATGAGCTATTTGAAAGCACCTGTATTCATACATACACACATGTACATATATAAATGTGAGTACCTGTACAGTCACTTGCTATATACATATGTGTGTACATTACTATATATGCAGATACATATTTATATCAGAAACCACTATCAGAATGTAAGACGCTGTTGTGAACACAGCAGTTTCCCATAAGCAATGCTTCTTTTTCATGTCTCTTGTATACAAAGCGATTGTGTTGTCAGGTGTTTGATGGTACATTATGTATATAATTTATAATACATATATTTTGATAATATAGCAAATGCTTATGTTATTGGTGTATAGACATGTATACTTTTTATCATTATGTTAATGTGGACTTTCCCAATTTAAAAATCAAAAGTTTACCATATATATAACAATATGTGCTCCGATTTATGGGCAGAAACCTCCAATTTCATAAGTCCTGCATCTCTTAAGTGTTGCAAATATCTCTCCCTCGGTTCATTTTTTGTGGGGCTGGTGGCGAGATATTACTGTGAAGTGTATCATGGTTCACAAATGCAGCAGCAAGAGGCAAAGGAGAGGATGGATTTGCAAGTGAAACAAAGATCATTAAACAGCACAAAAGTGGAAGATCAGTGGATGCTATTGCACATATTTCAGGCAGGTTCACACAATGTCCAAATTACATCATGTCCTGTTACACAGAATATAAGGTGGGCAGTATGCAACGCATGACTGTGTGCATGTGCTTTAATTAAAATAAAATTTAAAAATATATAGAAAATCTAATCCCAAAGCATGCAGCAATCAAAAATCCAAGAGTCACAATATTCTTAATATTCTACATGGGAGCCGGTGCCCTCTGTGACAAAGGAGGGAAGGGACAGGGCTAGCAGTTCTGAGTGACACAGGCACTATCTATTCTGTGAGTTTAAGAGTAGAATTTCACCCTGACTCTTGTAAGTCACTCGGGCTTTTAAAATACTAGCAACTGCCTGACCTCTAGGTAATCCTGATCAATTAAGTGGAAAGGCTTCACCATAAATGCGAGCTACTTTCCCTTGGATAGATTGCAATGGGAGTGCATTTCATGCAAACTAGCCCAGGGTGTTGCTTGCCTATGTTTTATTTCAATAGTAAGAGCTTTAGTTTTAAAAACACACCCTTTGAGTTGGCACCCCTTCCCCCAGGGCAGATGCTTCCTTTCCGTTACCGTGAGATCAGCAGAACTGTTAGTAAGACAGACTTTACACCTTAAGGGGAACTGGTCGCAGGAAGTGAGGTGGGAAATGGAATGTTGGCCTCAGTTCTACTCTTATACAATTCAGGGCTGATGAGGAGTGCCCACATTCTTCCTATTAGCTTTCAAATGAACTGCTGGCTTGGAGACAGTGACTGTGTCAACCTAGTGGAGCCCAGGTGGCACAGTGGGTTGTGCATTGGGCTGCTACCCACAAGGTCCACAGTTTGAACACACCAATCACTCCATGGGAGAAAGAGGAGGCTTTCTACTCCTGTAGAGATTTACAGCCTTGGACCCACGGAGTGTCCTGCCACTCTCTGCTAGAGGGTGGCTTCGGTTGGAATGGACTCGATGACGGCAGGAACTTGGTTTGGGTTTTCAAACGTTATGGCAGCCAGCTGCCCCACTTTGATTTGTCTGTTTTCACAAAACAGCTAGTGGGTTAGAACTGCTGTTCTTGCAGCTGGCAGCAAGACCTTAGCCACTGCACTACCAGGACTTCTTATACAGGGAGCAGCAACCTAATTAAATGTATTGAGTTAAGAGCAGCTCATGACTTACCCTATGAATTCAGTCAACACACTAATTCTAAGCAGAGGTTCGGTGGTTAATTCATTATAGGTTTGGTAGCTATAGCAACAACAGGCTTGTGTTTCCTGGTGCGTAGTTTGGAGGACTCCGCCACAAAGGGAACTCACATGTTGGCTTTTTGCTGAAATTACAGGTACTTCGACTGACCCAAGACCACAACTTCAAATCTTGTCCGGAAAGCGAAAAGAAAAGGAAAATGGTACATCTTATCTCTTAATATCCAAGTAATGAAGTCATCCAGTGGATAAGGAGGGAGCATCAGCAGATGCACTTCCGTGGTTAATTCAAGTAACGTTTCCTGGGTAACTTTCCTTAGGAAGAGGTGTGTTCGAATGGCAGAAACACTTGGCAGAGTACAACCTGTGTGGCCGTTTGGGGAGGTCACCGTTCCCCTTTCTCCCTCCCGCCCCCTTGAAACTCCTCCCCCTTTGAACATACTCTTGTTTGTATTACAAAGGAAATATGAAGAAGGCAGTGTGCTAACAATAACGTTGAGGCTCTTGTCATGTTATTAAAACAACAACAACTTTGTTTCCATCTGCCTTTATATCGTGTTTCAGCTTTAGTTAGCAATATACCCAATCATTTTCATTTACCTAGAGGTTGTTGATATCTGGATGGTGCTTGTTTCACATTTTAACTTCACCGACCTCTTTTCTCTTCAAGGAATCCAACGTGGGCAAAGTGGAAGGAATGTGCTCTGGCTTCCAGGCCCTTATCTCAGAACTCAACAAGCCCAGCAATGCTTACGTCCTTAAGACAGCCAACGGGCTGTATGGGGAGAAGACGTATCCCTTTCATAATGTAAGTGCAGGAATGTCATTTGAAGGTGGTGGGAAATAAAGAACCATGATGTACACACGTCTCGTACATTCCCCCTGGGATTCAGACACAATCCTAAAGTGGTACTACTTCCTGGTAAATAATCATTTAGCACACAGTCCCACAAACTTATTTGGGGGAAAAAATTACTCAGAAGCCCCCTGGCGATGAGCCTCTTTTGTATTATAGCCCATAAGCCACAGGATACCTGATTTTTGCATCCCTTCTGGATCCTTCTGGCACCCCCAGGAGGGGCGGTATCACCCACTTTGGGAGCAAGCAGGAAGCATCCAGTTGATAAATGAATCTGAAATTTTATGTAGTGATCAAATCTTCATGTCCATAATAAAAGAGTAGACTCCAGGCATGGCATTTAAATGCATGGAATTATGTGTATATGCTATCTGGACCAACGATTGTTTCACAACATACGAGGAGCAAAAAATACAGAATAAATTACAACGACAGAAACAGTTGGTGTTGCATTACACCCGCCCTATGTGTTGAGTAGAACTGAGTTGCATGGAGTTTACAGTTGTGCCTTTTTGGAAACAGATTGCCAGGCTTTGCTTCCGAAGCGCCTCGGGTGCACTTGAACTTAAGTGGCTAATGGCTTACACCACCCAAGAGCTGCTCCGAGTAACTGGTCTTGTCCTGCGCTGTGGAGCCCATCTCCTGTCACAGTGACCTGCCAGCCTTCCCCACGGTTTCTCAGGCTGTACTCTTGACAGAAGTAGGCTGTCTCATTTTTCTCCCTCAACCTCTTGCCTACCGGTTAGCAGACAATCGCTTGACTGCTGCTATCAACAGAGCTTGATCAGAACCCACGAAGTGAAGGGAGTCATGTCTTGTGGATATTTAAATTTTGTTTCTTCTAGAGTACAAATTGAACTTCATAATCTTTATACTGCTTTTTAGAAGCTGAATGAACTCGCTTTTTAAAAAACTGTTTAGTAATACCTTCCCCCATGCTTTACCAAAAAAAAAAAAAGGAAACGGAAGTACTGTTTGATTTCTCGCCTGGGAAATACCTCGCACGAGAAAGAACTCACGCTGAAGCCTGGTTTGTTCGAGCTGGGGCCTTGACTTTGGAGCACGCCCATTAGTCTTTATGGCTGGCTAAGGGCTCACCTGATTCTCTTCCAACCTCCTGCAGGGAGGCGTCAGGCATGGTGAGGGGCCACCCTGTCCCTGCTCTGCTACCTAACAGCACCATAACCACACTGCAGGATTCATTCCTTTCCCAGGGCAGAGGCCCCCTCACCAGCCCCCCTGGGGCAACCCAAACAACAACAAAAACAACGGAAGGCAAAACCAAAGGGTGGAAAGAAAAGAGCAATTTTTTTTTCCCCTCAGAAAACATGTCCTGTCCGTTTCCTCAGGCTCTAATGTGAACTGGCCCCTCTGGAACATCTGAGGAAACCTTTGACCCTGCTGAGAAGTCCATTTGCCTGTCAGCATTCGGGGTTCCTCAGGGGTCTCCTCGGGGGCAGCTGCAGGCCTCCCAGGTCTCATTTGGGTTCCAGCTCTGCCACCGTAGTCAAATACAATCCCCAAGGCGGGTTGGCCCCTGGGATTCCTCCTGAGGACGTGTGGCTTGCTCTCCTTTCAATTCCAGCCTCATTCCTGTCTGAATCAAAAGAGAAAAGCAGAGGGTGGGGAAGGTCCAGGACCGCTGGCTGCAGGCCTGCTTCCTGCTCTAGGATGCTGAATGCATTGTCATACAATGACTCAAAAGGGGCTGAGAGTATTTGAAGTCGCATCCGGGGTTCTGCTTAACTAGTGAGGGTCTTGTTAAGTTTGGATGTTTCGTTCTTGCCTCACACTGGGGCATGCAGAGAAAGCTTAGGGAGCGGTGGTGGGGTAGGAGTTGACAATTGTCCATCCATGCAGGTCTTTGGCGATTCTAAATGGACTTGAGGTCAGAGACTCGTGGGACTCCTGAGTCAATGGCCGCTAGTCGCTCTTCAGTTCTGGAAAGGTATTCATTCCCATGGCTCAATGCTCAGACAACTCTGAAAATACGCTGCCATCGAGTCAATGACAGCTCACAGTGACCCTAGAGGACCAGGTGGAACTGCCCTGAATCTCCAAATGGGAGTAGAAAGCCCCATCTTTCTCCTGCAGAGTGACTGTGGTCTGGAACTGCTGACCTTGCGGTGGGCAGCCCAAGCAGTAACTGCTATACCACCAGGGCTCTTAGCCAAACAAGAGGCAGGTATATAACGTGAACAGTAAGACTTAAGGAGGGACTGGCACCTTAGAATAATCACCATTTGAGATCCAAAGGGCAAGCCAGAACAAAGTTGGGTTAGGAAAGAAAGCAAAATGGAAACAGGAAACAGAAGAAGTGCATGCTCAAGGGATGACCCACTGCAGGGATTGCAAACGATGGCCTGAAACCAAGTGTGCGCGGATGTCTGAATGGACAACGGATCTGTACACCTTCACCCAATTCACAACCAAAGAGTTTTAAAAGATAGACTTGATTTCTCAATTTTGGATAAACTCTACAAAAAATAAATTCAACCTGTGTCTTTCAGAAATATCTAGAAGACATCAAAAAGTACTTTGGTGCTGAGCCCAGGTCTGTTAATTTTGTGGAGACCCCTGACCAGGTCAGAAAGGAGATCAACTCCTGGGTTGAAAACCAGACTGAAGGTAAGTGTCCATCCTGCTGCTCCCAGTGCCTCCTCCAAGAGTCCTTTCAAGCACTTCGGTGTTGTGTCTCAGCCTACGCTCATCTGAAACAGAATGGGGGACACACTGTTACTATCTAGAATGCTTCTTTCTACTTAGGGCAGGGATTTTAGATTCACAGTTTCCCCAGTACGTATTGTCCCAAACATGTTCATCCAGAGCCCTTTTATCAAATAAGAAAGCATATTCTTATACCCCACTGATTCCAAAGGAAATCAAGGCAAAAGTCCTTTTATTTTAAAACACTGCTGCCTCCATGCTATTTAATAAGCAAAATGTGCTGACAAGTGAATTATAGCCTAACTGGAAAAGGCCATGGGTAAGTTTTGTCACTGCCATCGAGTTGATTCTGATTCACAGATATTCTATGTGACAGAGTAAAACTGCCCCCTAGGGCTTCCAAGGCAGCACATCTTGAGGGGAACAGTTGCCTCATGTTTCTTCCTGGGAGCAGCTGGTAGGTTTGAACCGCTGACTTTGTGAAGAGCAACCCAATGCTTAATCCAGAGGATTCTGTTTTTTGTTTTTTTAATGAGATCATCTTAAAATACAACACCTTAATGAAGCAGGGGTCGCTGTGAGTTAGAGCTGACCCCACGGCAGCGAGTGCTATGTACAAAGGAGCCTTGGGGTGCTGTCGGGTGGGCGCTGAACTCACCTGACTGAATTGATTCAAGGGATAACGATGAAGCTGTCTGACCCAGCAAGCTGTACACCCTCGGAAACCAGGGTAGAAGTCCGTGGGGTTTTATTTTTAAATGAGATAGATTCTATCGTTCTCTCACACAATAGACTTGTCTGTAAGCTCCTTCAAAGCCCAAACCTGTAGCATGTTTATAAACCCAAATTTGTCACATTTCTGGCCTGCCCACCAGGAAGGATCCATTCTAAATATCTCCAATGAGAATGGCTATTGTCTGATCTACAAGTGTGTACAGTGAGCAAACCAGTAGGTGGCACTGCTAGGGTATAGTAAAACATGGTGTCAAAATTGTGTGTTACTTTAAGGGACTGTATTTACTCTTAATTTTGTACACTCCTTGTAAAACACATTCTGTTTTTAATTCCCTGATATGGCTCTGGATTCAAGAAGTTTGGTGGCTCGACAGCATCTGAATCCAGGGGAGGGTGCAATCAAACTCAGGTTCACTTCAGCTCTCCCAACCTGGGATCCTTCTGTCTAAACCCTGGTCCCTGATGGGCTCTCCAAATTAATAATCTACAGCTCAGTAGAATGAGAAAGCGATGAATTCAGAATAATGGTTAAAAGTGTGTTGCGAACTAACAGTTTTTAAGACTTTGGTTTGTCCTGATGGCTTTCTGTATCATGGTCTGTGCTGTCCCCGATCTTCATTTTTATTTGCTGGAATGAATTCTCATGCTATTGTTCCAATCGAGTTCAGTGTATCTAGAGATAATAACATTCCTGAGAAATCCAATATCTAAAATTGTCCACTATAAGAATGGAGGAGCTGAGCAACTGTATAGAAGTCAAATTAATTTTTCTCCTGCCATTTATAACCAGTGCTGTTGATGAAAATAATACATCTCTGCCCGACCCCTTCCCGAGATGAAGATTCTAGAATTCCCTCTTTGTCTTTGATGGCCAATGCATGTTCTATGTATGGATTTTTGCTTTCTTTTAAAAGTCTGCCTGACACGCATTTTAAATGTAAATTCAAAGAGAAAATAGTGTATATTATTTATCTAATCATTTGCTCCTCTTCAGAGTCTCGATTCCTGCCTTCAGCTACTCTAAATAAGCAAATGCTGAAATCTCTGGATCTAGCTCATCTCCTGCAATTTTCCTTTTGGACGTTACTTTGCATGCCTTAGTCTTTCTGCTCTACTCTTCCAGCTCATGAAGTTTCTCCTCAGCTGTGTTTATTCTACTGTTTAGTCCATAGAACTAAGAGATTTATATCAACAATAAGGCTTTTTCTTCCCTGTGATCTGGGGCTATCTGTGGATTTTCATGGAGAAGAGCTAATATCAACTGTCTCTGAAATGTGACCTTTCGGAGGTTTATTTTTATGTCTTTTTGCTCTATTAAGTCCTTCCTTTCCTGTGTTCACTTGGCTTGCTTGGTTTGATACTTCTCTCTTATGGAGTAATGTTCACTCATTGCTGACTCCTCTTTTCTGGTCATCTTTTGTTTGAGACTCCTAGGACATTTGCCTTCAGTAGATTTCTGATGATCAGAACTTGTCATGTGGTGACTGTAGAGGCTGATGGGCTGCACCTGGAACTTGTCCTCTGAGTGAGCAAGGCTCTCAGTTTTTCTTGGAACTCCCTTAACTATTTGGGGTCCCTGTCTTTCCCCATCAGCACACAGGTGCGGTCACATCTATCTCTGGCCTGTACATTGGCATATTTGCTGCTTATTGCTGATACAGAGGGGGTTGTCAATAATCAGTTGACCCAATACTTACCCACTACCAATGATTCTCAATCCTGGCTACAATTAAGTTCAACTCACTGATCTCTAACCCACCTCCAGAGGCATTAATTTAGATCCCAGGGGTGGGGTCAAGCGTCAATGGATTTTTAAGCCCCAGGTGATTCTAAGAAACAAAGTTAAGGGCCACTGCGACGCATGGATTTATTTAATTAACAGGACTCCTTCCCTCTGCTTCCCGCAACAAGCTCTCCTTTGGACTCCCCGGGAGTCTGCCTTCCCCCAGTCCTCATAGTTCCAGAGTTTTTGCCCTCAGTCTGATCCTTCTGCATCTTCTCTATAGAATTTCTCAAATTGCCCAAACCCCTGGTTGCCCCTGTTTACAGTAGTGCTCTTTGCAGTGCTGTTCTAGATGTATGATTCTAACAGATATTTGTTTTGGGGGAAATTAAGTAGTTTTGCACACTAGTTAGTAAATTTGTTTATCATGGGAGAACTGGAACTGTGTATGCTTTAGAAATGAGCAAACTGTACTGTGAAAAATGACAGCTAGGTTCTTCACTGCCAGGGAAAGAAATTAAAAATCAAGGCTAAAATGAGCACTGCACTGCTGGATTGGAATTGGAGGTGTCAATATGACATCCGAATTCTAGTCTGTGATATATAAGGAAGCTTCAAGAAGTCTGTGGAAAAATTCTGTTCTCTTCTGATTCTATTTTTCCATGAACTCTTTAAAGTCCCTTTTGGATATGATATAGAGCAATTTGATTTACTTGTCTACAAATCTGCACAAATGTCTGCATATTCATGATTGTCTTCTTGACCATCTCTGCTGAGAGGTCCAACAAGCGGTTGCACCCCGGAACAGTTAGTGCAGCTAGCCTCTAGATTTTAATTCTACCTTTGTCACTGTCATCAAGGCAATCTGACTCCTAGGTAGAGCAAAACTTGGTCTTGGGCTTTAGGAGGCTGTCAATCCCTTGGGAGCAGAAAGCCGCCTCCGTCCCGCATGGAGCTGCTGGTAAGTTTGAATCGCTGGCTTTGAGTTTACCAGCCCAACACAACACATTATCCATGACCAAGGCCCCTTGCTTTCTGTGTGACCACCTCAACATTAAGAGAAGGAGCCCTGGTTAAGCAACGCAGCCATGGGAATCCATGGCTGCTCCCCGGGGAGAAGGATGGGGCCATCTGCTTCTGGGTGGGATGCAGCTTCAGAAACCCTCTGCGGCAGTGCTGCTCTGTCCTGTGCTGGGACCGTGAGTCACCATGGGCTCCGAAGGGAGCATGTCCTAGAAGAACTGGTGGCCTCTGGGCAGGGGCAGGGAAAGTGCAGCTAAACCTAGAGCGGTGAGGAGAGAAAGAACGTTCCAACAAAGTGGGCAGCATGTCCAACGGATACAACTTGAGGGGGCTACCCAGGGCCAACTCTGGGACATCCCGGATGATAGTCAGGAATGAGAACCCATGGAGCCAAACAATATCTCGGACTCCCTATGGATATAAAGAAATACCTGAATACCTGAAGAATTCAAGTGGAAGGAACATCTCTTCCTCACAATAGGATTGGAATTAATGAATATAAAAGAAATGAGGGATTCCTAAAAATTGCCATTTCATAAACATCACAATAGTTATCGTTGGCAAGAATCAATGAGGAGTGCTGTTTGAGAAGAAATAAGACACTTGCATCATCTCAAAGTGTCACCTGACCAGAGACTTACTAACCGCAAAGGGGAAAATAGTAAGGTGAAGGACAGACAACTGGCTGAGACCGCTGGTCAAGCGATGCAAGTAACAGCACCAGGAATGCGGCTTAGGAAAATCCTGCGATTCGTGGTCTGACTCACTGACAAGGACCCCCAGCAGTCTGTGGCCTTCTCACCCCACCCTGCGCAGCCTCGCCACCCTCTGGAGGACATATTAAGGAAAAGACAGCGAAGGTGCGGCCTTCCAAAAACTGCGCAGCATTGCCAGAAGTGCCGAGGATCTGAAAGACGAGAAGGGACGATCTATGCTTAGAGGACACTCAGGAGAAACGCCTTATTCGTCAGAATAAGACCTGTCAGTCGTACTCTATCAGTGCTCCCCTCTGGGCTGGGGTCCTGCCGCTGTGGATGTATGATGCCAGCATTGGGCAGTGTTCCCTCACCTTCCTCGTAAGCGGGGCGTTTCATCGGGATTTAACAGTACCGTTTTCTAATTGTTTATGGGTAGAATAACAAGATTTCATTTAGTGGAATGCGGTTACTCAACACCTGAAACAACTTCTTTATGAATTTTCACTGCTTTCCAGTCGATTCTCCTGGCTTTGCGATTTAGCTACACATGTTCTCGTTGTTAGATTGGATTCATAGTGAGCCTGTGTAGAACAAAACCGCTTCATCCTGCTCACGATGCATCCTAACAGCAGCTCTATATGTGAGCCCATTGTTGTATACCAGTCCATTGTGTCGATCCGACTCCTTGATGATTTTCTTTTGTTCACTGAATCTATAATTTACCAAGCATGATGTGCTTCTCCAGGGATTGATCCTTCCTAATAAGATGTCCCCAGTCCATGAGATGCAATTTTACCATCCCTGTTTCAGAGCAGGTTGGCTGTACTTCTTCCTACACATATTTGTTTATCCATGGTGTAGACAATAGACATCACTAGCACCATAATTCAAATGCGCCAATCCTTCTTTTGTCATATTTATTCATTTTCTAGCTTCCACGGGCATAGGAAGTGATTGAAAATACCATGATTTGCATCTTTGCTCTTTGACATTAAAAAAAAAGTCTTTGCAGAAGATTTCCCCAAGGCACTATATGGTTTGTCAAGTCCCAGAGTCTTGTTTGTAGTGGGTGGTGTGGGTGTGTGTTTGCCAGTGCTTTAGGGCAGTTTGGGCATTTTCTTTCAATACTGTGGTTGTTGATCAGATGCTATCTCTTGAGATGTTTGAACATCAACCAATTTTTTTGCTACCATGACTCTCGGTGTTCCTTTTATGCTTTTATGTTTATTTATCCCATAGAATCCTTCAATATTGCCACTAGAGGCTTGGATTTTTACCGTTCTTTCAGCTTCAGATATATTGAGTGTCTTCTTACTTTTTGATTTCCTAACCAGTCTTTGCAGATGTCATTATAGGATTGTACTTTGCCTAATCTAGCCGTCCTTTGAAACAATCTGTTAAAGCTCTTTTACATCATCGCCTCTTTCAATTGCTGCAGCTTCTCTACATTTTGAAGCAAGTTTCAGAATCTCTTTTAATGTTGATTTTCGTCTTTTCTTTCTTTCCTATTTTTCCAATGACATTTTTCTGCCCTCCGGTGTAATGTCCTTGCACAACTCACTCTTGTTTATTAGAGTTCAATGCATCAAATCGGCTTCACGTAGGATGTACTAAGGCTTGTATTTTGACTTTTATAGACTTGTTTTGATTTTCCTAATGTTTAACTTGAACATGAATATGAGTACTTGATGGACTGGCTGCAATCAGTCCCTCGCCTTGTTATGACTGATAGTAAGGAGTGTAACCACTGCCTATTTTAACAGATGTAGTCAATTTTATTCTAGTGTATTATGAAAATTGAATGATAGTGATTATCCTGCTTATGTTGTTGAAAAAAATTATTTATGAAGAATAAGTCATTGGTCTTACAAAAGTTTGTAATACGACCTCCAGCATTATTTCTATCACCAATGGCATATAGTCACACTTCCAAGTTTCTTATTACTGTCACAAGTAATTATCAATGTCACTTGATTGCATGTTTTATCAATTTCAGACTGAGAAGCTGGTGGACCTTTTCAATGTCTTCATCTTTGGCTGTAGGGGTTGTTGAGCAAATCTTACCAATAGTAATATCCACTGGATTTCCTTCTAGGCATAAGAACATGTTCTTATCACTGACAGCTTGAACCCGGAGATACAGCTTCAAATGCTCTGTTTTGGTGATGAATGGAATAACACTCCTCTTTTGTTTGTCATTTCTGGCATGACAAACTGTATGACTTTCTGATTCAAAGTGGCCAATACAGCCCATTTACACTTGCGAATTCTGTATTTAAGTCCTAGGATATTGAGCTTTTTGTGTTTTGTTTTCTTT